TCCCAAGTGGGGGCAGTTGGTAAGTGAGAAGTTATTATTCTTTATCACATATCTTCAATATATCATAATTTTTACAGGAGCCAATTTATATTAGAGTCAACTCTACATTTTCTAAAACAAATGAAGCAGCACAGAATCAGCATATCAACATTTCCTCCAATAAAATTTGAATTGATCTTCTATATTTAATTCCTTTCTAGCTGTGGGTAAATACAAAGATGTGTACAAAGCACATAGCCTATATTTTGGAATCTAGCTATTTGAGGATGGCACAGTCAACCAAGTCTGCTTCTTTTTAAACAGCCAAATGGCTTCTGTCATACTATATGAAATTCTTGCAGGAGATAAAGCACAGAAAATAGGATGGAACAGGAGGAACTTCAGGCAAAAATGTGACAAGGCAATCGGAAGGAACAAGCTGGAGGCGATGAGGAACAGATCTTACTGGAATGGAGAGTCTGTGTCTGAGACTATTTGTTCTTAACTGGCCAATCTTATGACACAAAGTTGGCATAGCTCAAATTGTGCTTGAAAACAGTCTCCTTTTAAAACCATGTGCCCACTAGCGACCACCCCTCTTCAGGTTCAGAACACAGGAGACTAAACGTATGAGCCCTGGAATCAAACAGCCCTCGGTCTAATGGTTACAGATTCATGAGTGGGTGACCACCTCTGCAGGCCTCATTTCTTCTTCTGCAAAATGGGCAAAACCCCAGTACTTATCCCAGAAGTTGGACGGGATGCTAAGTAAGATAATGTGTGTACTGGGTTCAGTGCCTACCACATGCGAACCCTCAACCAAAGCCACTTCTCGTTTGTCCTTGGTCAAGGCATAATCTCCTATTTGGGGTATTCGTTCTCCCCGTCATTATCTGTTAAATATAGAGAGGCAGCACCCTGTAAGAGCCTTGAGTCAGTGTTGCCTGGTGTAGCAAGCCACCATAAGTGGGCTTTCAAAAGTACAAGACTGGTTTCCACCTGGTCAAGAAGTAGGGCAAGAAGTAGTCAAGAAACTTCCTGGCCGGGGGCAGAAGCTCTTTAGCATGGAAGTCTTACTGTCTGCCCAGACTGCCACCTGGTTTCTAATTCTCTTGTCAGGTTCTACTTGCTGCTTCCTTTTCCCTTTGTCCAGTCCTATTCTCTGTTTTCCCAGGAGTCCCCATTTCTGTCTGCCTGCCTCCTTGCCTTCCACTTGGGTATCTGTGTTTTAGTTTTGTTGTTTTTTCTTTAAGATTTTTTAGAGAGGGAAAGAGAGGGAGAAAGAGAGGGAGAGAAACATCAATGTGTGGTTGCCTCTCAGGCACCCCCTACTGGGGACCTGGCCCGCAACCCAGGCATGTGCCCTGACTGGGAATCGAGCTAGCAACCCTTTGGTTTGTAGTATGGTGCTCAATCCATTGACCCATACCAGTCAGGGCTCATTTTTAACTGCCTATTGATGCTAGCCATCTCCTCTCACCTTGCCTTCGGGAAGTTATAAGCTTTTCACTTCCTGACTAGCATGATGGGTTCCCTACTTTTATCTCTCGGCTCACGTACCCTCCTGGCTTCTGATGGCTAATATAGTTTTTGAGCCATGTATCTTGCCTCTTTCTCTGTAGGTACTGTGACTCACAAATGCTTAACAAGATTATAGGCAAAATATTTAGCAACTGGTTTGGAACGAACACTGCCCAGACAGAATGGCTGTCAGCAATCCACAACAGAGACGGCAGTCCTTGCATATACAGGCTTGAACAGCAGCCCGCACCCTACACTCTAGACCTCTCCAACCCTTCTGATGAGAGGCCTCCAGTTTCTTCTTAGGGCTCGTGCCTCAGATTTGCTTCTTACTCCTTATGTACAAGCCTGGCACCACTAGTCTTATACCCTGCTTCAGGAACTCCTGTCATCCACAGTCCTAGAGCTGACCTTCTCATTTCCTCTCTATTCAGCCGTCACTGGAGGAATCCAGAATACTGGTAACAGACATGAAAGAGAGGCCTTGATGCCAAAACAGCAGGGCAAAACATAAAAGCAGTATTTTTATATATACATTGCAGGTATAGCAAAAAATATTCTTGTAGCACAAAGTTCTGTATAGCATTATCAAGAGTTATTTCTGTTTTCTTGGTCTGGATACAGGAAGTCTCTTTCGCTCATGCCTTCTATGCACCTTTTTGAACCACTTATAGTCTATAAGGAAACAATTGGTTGCATGTGATTTGCAAATAAAGGGAATCAGAGGAAACCCTACATCTTCTGTTCTGTCAAAAAGCTGGACCTGTCCTTTCTCTAACACTTCCCTCATTCAAAACAAAAAGAACAACTGCCTGGAACCTTCTGCATTCACACAGATCTTGAACACAGAGAGGAAAGGGGCAGTGCGTTCAAGATGGTTGTTGAGTAGGGCTGGAATTTCTAAGGTTTGGTAATTTCTAATACTTTGAGGTTATAGTTAGGAGGTGGGTATCCTAAGAAAATCACTCAGCAGCCAGAATGAACCAGGAAAGGGACCCAACTGTGCATTCCCCATGAACTCACTGCAGCTGTCCGTCACCAACCACCCAGTCCTCTACAATGCTTTCCTTTATGTACTTATTGACTCTATTGATATCTCCCAATTTCTTAATTTAAAAAGTTTCAATCTACAAAAAGTTAAAATAATATAATAAGCACATCTATACCACTGTCTTTGATTCACCCAACGTCATCACTCCACTGTATTTCTGAGCTTGCTCCCCAACTCTTATACTTATTTCCTGAACCAGCTGAAAGTTGCAGATGTCAAGACATTCTGCCTCTAAGACACACATCTTGACAGATTAAGGACAGGGTCCTACATAGCCATAGTACCACTACTGCACCTAACAAAATTCAAAGTAATTCCATAATATTATCTAATATTCAAGACATTCAATTTTCCCTAATTGTCCCAAATCATCTTTTACAGCTATTTTTTTTTTCTGATTTAGGATCCAATGTTCACACACCCTGACTGGATGTCACATCACTTGAGTATTTTAAGCTACAATACTCCCTACTCCTCCAGTCTTCCTGGCAGGAACACACCATGGGTGAAGTTATGACCTGACTGCATCTCAGCAGGAGACTCATTCCAGGCACTAGTAAGCCTGATCACCAGGCTCCAGTGATAACTTGCTCATCTCTTCACTGTAAGGCCTCATGTTTCCTAGACAATCTGTGGTGAGATGCTTTGAAAAAATGTGAAAATCCTGTTTCCCAACAATTCACTCAGAAATTTAAAAAGATTTAATTAATTAATTAATTTGTTTTTAGAGAGAGGGGAAGGGAGGGAGAAAGAGGAAGAGAAACACCGATGTGAGAAAGAAACATCAACCATTTGAGCCTCCTATGTTTTGGGGGGCGGGGGGGGGGAACCTGCAACCCAAGCATGGTGCCCTGATGGGGAACTGAACTGGGGACCTGGACAACACCTGGCCAACTGAGCCGCACTGGTTAGGGCTCACTCAAAGGTGCTGTAACTGTGGATGAGTCCCTGTCTCAATCAGTTACGTTAGGGTTTGCATTGCAGTGGTTTTCTGGTTCTCTCATTCCTTCTATTGTGTAGTATTTATTATTCAAATAAACCCATCAGCACCCAGCCCTCTCTTTTCTTCAGTGGATATGCTCTCTGCTTACTTCTTGCTGGGGCTTCCTCCCCACAGCCCTATTGCCCACATATGACAACTGCAGCCCACCCTGGGGGGCCATTAGCTTCTCCCTTTACCTGCTGATCTCATCACTCCACCTTCAGCAAATCAAAAACAAACATAACACGTTGCCTACAAATTTACAGTAATCGACAAAAATTAAAACAGTGGTAATGCATATTTACTGGGTCAGACTAAAGAGAATAGATAAAGGAAATCACTTTTTTTAAATTAGATTGCATAAACCCGGAAAAATCTTTCCTCCTCTCCAGGGTAAAGCCACTTGCTCTATCACAATCAGGGTCTTCACGATGGTGTTGAACAGAGCCCCCTCGTCCCTTCAGTTCCGTTACGAGAATTTTGGAAGAACACAGGTTTAGAAATCATTTACCCAAACGTCCCATCTTACATGCAAGAGGCCCAGAGAGGTGAAGGGACTTGCCCAGAGTCCCTCAGCTTCTTAACCGTAGAGTTAAGACAGGAACCTGTCCTAAAAACACCTGCTCCGATGTTCTTTTCATTGCCTTTCCAAGTGCCTCGTGATTCGGATGTCTAATGGGCAAGATGATGCCGTAGCATTTCATTGCTAATTTGCATTTGGCCTGCATCAGCTTCCAACCTTTGAATACTTTAAGTTAAAATTCCCATGAGAAGACTTGTGTTAATATTATTATTACGGCATTAAAAAATCAAGCTTCATTTCTGCAGGTCAACAGGGTAAATTTAGGAAGACACAAGAGAACACTTGCTACCTTTTCTTTAATCAGGAAAAATATAAGGGTCTCAAGGACCTGCATCAGGCCGCTCTCTGAATGCTGCTTGCTCGGAGGCTGAAACTCCCTGCGGATGACAGCTCCGGGGGTCTTAGAAAAAGACGCAAGCCGGTGTCCACCCTACCCCACCCTTCCCCATCTCCCGCTTTAACGATGCAGTGTGAGGCATTAGTTAGGTACTGGGAGCTCGTCACATGTTCACAGGAGAGGAAAGTGGTGAACAAAGCCCAGCGTGGAAAAACCCAACCGCGCAGCCCAGGGAGGACAGGAGACCGCGCCCTCCCTGCAGCGGCCCGGAGGGCTGCAGAGGCTGCGGAGGCGCAGTGCAGGGCGTGGAACACACACCCGAAGGCGCCTCCCGCCCGCGCATCCTCAAGCACAGATAGCTCTCCTCTGCGCAGCCCCGCGCTGGAGGCACGAGGTAGCCCCGCTCTCCGCACCCTGCCGGCCGAGCGCCAACGCTGCGGAGCATCCTCCAGCCACAGGGAAGGAGCGGCTGCCCTGGCGCTGCAGACCGGGGCTGCAGACAGCGCGTGGCCCCAGCCGGACCCCTCCCAGCCCTCCGCGTGCTCACCCATCCGTGCGCCCATCCCGTAGCCGGCTGTGCGAGCTGTCAGTCCTTCAGCTTCTTGGTAGCCGGGCCACGAGCAGGGGCGGCGCCGTAGCCGAGCGCGGCGATCAACAGGCGGTTCCCAGACCGCAGGCGGGCGCTGCGCCCGGGAGCACGCGGCAGCGGAGCACGCTGGGAAGCGTAGTTCCGGCGGCGCGCGGCTCCCGCGCGAACGCGGGACCCCCTGCCCGCTTCTCGCCTCTACTTCGTCCCTGCCAAGCAAGCGTTGTCTTCCAGAATCTACGTCCGGACCCCTTAAGGGCTCTGCGGGCGAGGAGAGTCTCAGCCTTGGGGAAAAGCTTTGCAGGCTCTCTTGAGAAGCTAGGGACTACAGATAGGGTAGGTAGCAGGGACTCTTCAGTCTTGTGAGGAGCTGCTGGGTGAGTGAACACCTTAACGTGGCAGTCTCGTCAAGACCCAGTTCAGATGGAGACGAGGCTCAGATACAGACTTGGCTTGCCCTGGGTTTTACTGGTTTTATTCGGGCCTGGGCGCAAGCGTGCGGAGTCTCTGGGGTATAGGCTTGAGGGTAGGGAAGTAAGCGAGCAGATCTGAAGTCTGGGGCGTGAGAGTGTTTGCGAGCCCATGTACATGCAGTGGCTTCATTAGATGTGAGGCTGAACAACTTGGCCTCTGTTAGCCTTAGTATCCTCATCTGTAAAGTAGGCGTAACGCGTAAGTTGTGAGGACCAAATACTATTAGGCGCGAAAGCGCCTGTGTCTGGTACTTAGCACATGCTCAGTAAAGGGTCCTTCCTTGGGAGGTGCAAGGACCTTCCCCGGCATACTTTTTACCTGGAAAAACCTGCATGTAATGCTGAATCAAAGATAGCTGGGCCTATCCCTAGCCAGCGTAGCTCAATTGGTTGGAGCATCTTCCTGGAAATCAGTAAGTTAGGGGTTCTATTCCTGGTTAGGGCACATGCGCACTAGGTTGATGTTTCTCTCCCTCTCTTCCTCCCTTTCCCTCTCTATAAGAAATCAATACCCATGTCCCAAGTAAATGTTAAAAACCTACGGAAATTATTAATTACCAAACTATGTAGCATAAGGAGGTGCCAAACTACACAGCACAATGGGGTAACCTTTCAGGAGCTTTTTCTAGTTAGACTTGATCTCCTTTTTGAAGGAGATGTCTCCCCATGTTATAATTCTTGCTTATAACATTTATCTGGACAGTTTCAGGTATGTCGAGTTTTGTAAGTAGCTACTATACAGTATTTCACACTGTGGTGAGATTTACATCTTAGAGCTGTAGTGGAAGAAAAATTAAGGCCCTGGCTGGTGTGGCTCAGTGGATTGAGTGCTGGCCTGCTACCCAAAACGTCACCAGTTTGATTCCCAGTCAGGGCACATACCTGGGTTGCAGGCCTGGTCCCTGGTTGGGTTGTATGTGAGAGGCAATCGATCAATGTTTCTCTCACGCGTTGATGTTTCTCTTCCTTTCTTTTTGCCCCTCCCTCCCCCCTCCCTAAAAATGAATAAAATCTTTAACAGAAAAAGAAAAATGGTGGATGCAAGCAGCATTCCAGGTGTAATCTCTGCCTGAAACAGGCAAAGGGTGAATGGAGATGAAATGGCATCATCATCTGTGCGACCTGTGCAGGAATCATGTGGGGAAAGAAGTGCTGCAGAGGAAATTCTCTATTGGAAAGTAACAACACCACTTCGCATTTGTGAAATACTTTCCCATTCATGTTCTCACTTGATTTTTGTGATAACCTGTGAGATACAGAGTGAAGAGCTTTCTCCAGTCAGAGTTCTAAAGGCACAGAGAGGTGATATGACTTACCCAAGGTCATCCAACTGGTCATTAAGCCTATCTTTTCTCCTTCCACCCTGGGTACTCTGGCATTCCCTAAAGAGGCACCCACAGCACTGTCTTTCTTTTCTGTGTTTCAAAACAGGGCCATACCTTCTCCAGTAAGGGGGCTGCATCAGAAAATAAAGTGAATTCTCCAGGGCTTTTGGAACTAGCATGATGAACAGTGGCTTACAGGCACTGCTGACTGAGAGACCAGTGTGGTTTCCACCATCAACTGTGATACTGGATGGCACCCTGGGCCTCCTCACCAGAATGACAAGTCTCATCTTGGAAAGAGTTAAATGAAATGGAGGTGTGACCAAACCAGCTTAAATTACATTTCCGTGTTTTCCTAGTGTTATTCCAAATGTTCTGTGTAACAGACATGATATCTTTGACTTTACATTGTGTGCTTGTCACAAATCATAGCCTTCTGTTAGACAATGGGACTGCTTACAGATCAAGCTGTCAGTTTTCCCAGAGAAAATCGAAGGTAGGCATACACTGAAAATAATAAAGCATTTAAAAATATATTTATTTATTTTAGAGTGAGGAAGGTAGAAAGAAAGAGAGGGAGAGAAACATCAATGTGTGAGAGAAATATCCATCAGTTCCCTTTCACATGCACCCCAACTGGAGACCAGGTCTGAAAACCAAGCATGTGCCCTGACCGGAAATTGAACTGGCGACCTTTGGCTTTGTGGGATAACACTTAACCAGCTGAGCCATACCAGCCAGGCAAGCGATTTTATTCAGATAAGAAAAAGTAGTAAAGATTTGATATAGCAAAGATACTCAGTAGTGTAACATGTCTGTGTGTGATGAAATGAATGGAGCATTATTCAGATAAAGACTGTGAAAGCAAGCAGGCACAAAAATGATTTCAAAGTCATAGCTGGCAGTCAAAGGAGAGATACAAGAGCTATCTGACAAGCCCAGGGCCATGTATAAGCTCCAGGAGGATGTTGGCACCAAATAAAGGAAACATTATGAAAAGAACTTCTAATCAATCTGTCTATACCAGGAGGGTTGGCAGCAAGTAGATGTTAATGGATGAGTGAGAATAGAGTGAGAAAGTAGAATAGATAACCCCTCTATTTTTTATGTTAAAATTTAATGGACAGATATCATACATTTTAGTCAATTTAGTTCTTTAAATCTCTCTAAAAATTTCTGTACTTCTGGCCAAGATGGAAGTATAGGTAGATACGCATTGCCTCCTCACACAACCAAAAGAAGGACAACAACAAATTTAAAAATGAAAAATAACCAGAACTGACAGAAAATTGAACTGTATGGAAGTCCAACAACCAAGGAGTTCAAGAAGAAACATTCAGCCCTGGCTGGCATAGCTCAGTGGATTGAGCGTGGGCTGTGAACCAAAGTGTCGCAGGTTTGATTCCCAGTCAGGCCACATACCTGGGTTGCAGGCCACGGCCCCCAGCAACCGTACATTGATGTTTCTTTCTCTCTCTCTCTCCCTCCCTTCCCTCTCTAAAAATAAATAAATAAAATCTTAAAAAAAAAAGAAAAAGAAACATTCATCCAGACTGGTAGGAGGGGCTGAGACAGGTAACCAGTGTGAGAGGATGCATGGCAAGGTTGCAGCTGGAGGACCGGCGAGGTGGTGGCTGGTAGACTGGGTGGTCCCACATTTGGGTGTGGATAAACCAAGAGGGACAACTGGGGAGCAAGTCAGATTGCACAGCCCAGGGTTCCAGGGTGGGGAAATAAAGCCTCAAAAACCTCTGACTGAAAAAACCTGTGGGAATTGTGGTGGCAGGAGAAACTCCCACACTCATAGGAAAGTTGGAGAGACCTGCAGGACCCTAGAATGTATACAAGCTCACTCACCTGGGAATCAGCACCAGAAGGGCCCAATTTGCTTGTGGGTAGTCGGGGAAGTGACTGAAAGTGCTGACCCCTCCCCCACATACAGTGCCACAAGGCAGTGACATGGGTTGCCTGCCCTGGTGAATACCTAAGGTTCCACCCCTTATAACAGGTGTGCCAAGACAAAGAAATATGACCCAAATGAAAGAACAGATCAAAACTCCAGAAAAACAACTGAGTGACAAAGAGGTAGCCAACCTATCAGATTAAGAGTTCAAAACACTGGTAATCAGGATGTTCACAGACATGGTTGAGTGTGGTCACAAAATAGAGGAAAAAATGAAGGCAATGCAAAGTGAAATAAAGAAAAATGTATAGGGACCCAACAGTGAAGAGAAGGAAACCACGACTCAACTCAACACTTGGGAGCAGAAGGAAGAAATAAACATCCAACCAGAACAGAATGCAGAAACAAGAATTCAAAAAAAAAAAAATGAGAGGCTTAGGAACCTCCTCCAGGACAACTTTAAATGTTCCAACATCCAGATCATAGGGGTGTTAGAAGGAGAAGAGGAAGAGCAAGAAATTGAAAACTTACTTGAAAACATAATGAAGGAGAACTTCCTTAGTCTGGCAAAGGAAATAGACTTCCAGGAAGTCCAAGAAGCTCAGAGAGTCCCAAAGAAGTTGGACCAAAGAAGCACACATAAAAGCACATCATAATAACATTACCCAAGATTAAAGGACAGAATCTTAAAAGCAGCAAGAGAAAAGGAGACAGTCACCTACAAAGGAGTTCCCATAAGACTATCAGTTGAGGCCCTGGCTGGTGTGGCTTATTGGATTGAGCACCAACCTGTGAATCAAATGGTAGGGGTTTGATTACCACTCGGGGGACATGCCTGGCCCAGGTCCCCAGTAGGGGGCGCTTGAGAGGCAACCACACATTGATGTTTCTTTCTCCTTACCACCCCCTCTCTAGAAATAAATAAATAAATAAATAAATTTTTTTTTAAAAGACTAGCTGAGTTCTCAAAAAGAAACCTACAGGCAAGAAGAGGCTGGAAAGAAATATTCAAAGTCATGAAAAGCAAGGACCTACATCCAAAATTACTCTGTCCAGCAAAGCTATCATTTAGAATGGAAGGGCAGTGAAAGTGCTTCCCAGATAAGGTCAAGTTAAAGGAGTTCATCATCATCCAGTCCTTATTATATGAAATGTTAAACAGACTTACCTAAGGAAAAGAAGACTGAAACTATGAACAGTAAAATGACAACAAACTCACAACTATCAACAACTGAACCTAAAAATAAAAACAAACTAAGCAAACACCTAGAACAGGAACAGAATCACAGAAATGGAGATCACATGGAGGGTTATCAGTGGGGAGAGGGAGGTAAAGGGGGGAGAACCAGGGAAAAGGTACAAGGAATAAGAAGCA